CTGGCAAGTGCACATGCCCTATAGCAAAAACCTCTCCAAAAAAAAAAGTCATAATGTATTTTTTTGTGTTTTTCTATGCAAAAATGCACTATGACATTTCCAATGACCTGATATTATATTTATTTATAAAATGTATGGAATATTAAATAGCAATAAGATATAAGTAGCTATCTACATCAATGTGGTTGTATCTTAGAAAAAAATGTTAGTGCACAAATATATATGATCCACTTCCCATAAACAAAATTAGTCATTATATGGCTTATAGATACTTTTACAGTAATAAAATCTCCAGAGAAAATCTAGAGATTCTAAACCTATTTGTATACTAATAGCACAAATGCTATGTAAAGCAGGAAATTAAAAGTATAGATATAAGAAGGGAAACTATTTGTTCCCTGAGTTTGAAAGAGAATAGACCCCTTAAAGTTAATGCCTTTCTTTTATTATGTACTAGAAATGTTACACAAACATTCGTTATCTGATCCTTTTAAAATAATCACAAATTTATAACACACTATTCACAAGTTTACAGGATAGTAAGTACAAGGATAAAACGTTTTCATGAACAACTTGAGTATGTCCCTCTGATACTTCAGTATGTCCCAAAGATACTTTAGCATGTTCCTCTGATACTTCCATATGTACTTCAACAAACAAGAAAATTCTAACCACAAAACTCATTCAAAGATACATAATCACAACGCAATTAATAAAAGCAGCGAATTAACACCATTGTTAAGTTAAATGTTAACACTGATCATTTTCATCCGATCCTCACACTTCAACCAGGTTTTGCCAATTGTCTCAATAGTCTTTTATAACAATTTGGAATCACAAGTTACATATAGTCTCCTCTAAGTCTGGAGCAATTGTTCAGTCTTTCCAAGACATGTATGCCCTTGGTACTTTTTAAGATTACAAACCAGGGGGTCAGCGGGCAGAGTGTTGGTTAAGGCAGTTGGACTAGCACATGGCTGACCATGGTTTGAGTTCCAGACCTGACGACAGCTTGAAAATCACACTGAGCACATGTGAGTGTCTGTCCCTTTCCATCTAGTGTGTGTACCCTAGGGCGGAAAAAAAAAAAAAAA